ACATTGTGGTTGTTTAGTTTCTCTTTAAGGTATGAGGCTTTGGAGTGGTTTATGATTATCTGATTTATTGGGGTGCCAGTAAAATCTTTTGGAAGAGGCCAGTTGTCCCCATTGCATAAGTTGAGTGAGTGCAAAGCTAGTATCATTTGGCAGGTTTGTGTATGTACTTGTATGGTTGGAAATACTGAAAGTTGTAGAAGGATCGAGGTATTGGTGTTCGCAGAGTCTTGTAGTTGTTGCAAATACAGCTTTAAGAAGGATGAATCGAAATCAACATGGTTTAAGTTCTTCTAGAAAGTTAGAACTAAGGATGAGAGCTGGGCTTGGGCTAAATTGTTTAGTGCGTAAATGTCTGGATTGAATATGAAGGAGTTAGGGACCCCTCGTGCAAGCTTTGCTTTGTTTTTGACCAGTTGGACACAAGTCTTGTTAAGAGTACTCAATTGTGAAGTTGAGAGAAAAGAGGAGTATAAGCGATAAAGGAGGCGGGGAGTAATGATATTATTGATTATATAGATTGCTTGTTTCTCTGTTATATGGGCAAATTGTAACTTTTTTAGGTTAATTGTAGCTTCTGCAATGATTTTCTTCTGTACCGATATCAGCTTTCCACTTGTTGAGAACCAGGCACCCAGATATTTAAAAGGTGTTTCATTCTTGATTGCTGTTAACTGTTCATTATCAAAGAGTATAGATTTATCTGGAGTTGTTGAGTTTGTTGCTAGAATGGATTTGTGTGGGTTGACTTTAATACTGGCAAATTTGTAGAAGAAGGAGGCCATGTGAAGGATTTTAGTGAGTGACTCTTTGTTTGATGCAATCCAAAGGGAATCATCCATATATGCCATTACTGATGTGTAGATTTTTTTTGGCGAGGGGGATGCTATTTCATTATAGAATCCCTGATGTTCTTTGTGTATTCTGGTTATTAGTAGGTCGTAATAGATTTTCCACAGTAAGGAGGAAATTGTTTCCCCCTGGTCTACCCCGTCTTCTACTGTATAGGGTGTGGTTAAGCCTAAGCTTGTAATGACTCTATTTGTGCGATTTTGGAGCAGATACGACAACAAGTTTATAGCTTTTTCAGGAATCCGTATTCTTGCAAGTGCTTTCCGTAGAGTAGGTATATGGATAAAGTCAAAGGCCTTTGACATGTCTTGTGAGAGGATCCAAATCTCTTTCTTGTTTATAGTTGCATCTTCGAGTATATGAGTAAGTTGAGAGATTGGTTGAAGTGTAAATTGGAAAAGAAATGCTGCAAAGTTATGAGATGAGAGCACTTGATTGCGAACGAGGATGTTTGTAAGACGGTTTGTCAGAATTTTTGTAAAAATCTTCCTGGTATGGTCAATTAGTGTGATGGGTCGAGTGGAGTTAAGCTCATAGTTGTAGTGTTGTTTTTTTGGTATAGGCCATATATTGGTTATTAACCATTCCTTTGGAACTACTTCCTGTGTTAGACAGCTATTTAGAATATCTAGCAAGGGGAAAGAGCTGATGGAGGTAGATGTTGAAGGACCTTATTTGAGATTCCTAAAGGTCCTGTTGCTTTCTTTTTAGGTGCTAGCCTTATTGTTTCTTCAAGTTTTGTTATTGTAATAGGGTTGAGGAGACTATCGTATATGTTGTTTTGAATATTATTGAGTGGATGATATGTTGATTCCCATTCTTCCCAGAGGGTATTATTTGGAGAATTGCTTTTGGTCCAGGATTTGAAGTGTAAGCGTACGGCCTCCTTGATTTTGGTTTTCTCAGTAATGACTTCATCTGGTAGGATGATCTTTTCGAAGCTAACTGGTTCAGCTCTTCTTTATAGAATACTATCTAATATGCAGCTAGTGTTGTCCTTAAAATCTAAATATCTACAGTTGATGTAAAATTTAATATATTCACTTTGCTTCTGTTTCTTTTCATGATTACGTGCTTGCCAAATTATATGTTTATGCTGTTTGATTTGGTTTATAGTATTCGTTAAAGAAGATGCAAGTTGTTTTTGTGTTATTAGAGAAATCTCAATTTCCGCTAGGGTAGCTGCTTTAGACAAGTGTTGGTTTGCCTTAGATATATCAACTAAAATATTGTTCGAGAGGTGACTTAGGCACTTATTAATGTTTTTTAAGGCAGAGTGCAGTTTGGTTGCTTTTAGTGACAGGGCATAGAATGGCTTTGAGGTAGTAAAGGCATGTGGAATATGTTTGTTCATTGCTTCTTTAACTTTCATTGACCAAAAATTCTAGGCTTTGTTGAGATTTTTGTTTTCCATATTTGAAGAAGTAATAAGTTGTTGGTCGAATTGCTGGTTTATTGTTTCTTCAAAGTTGTCCCAATCGTCTGGTGTTATTTTCTCATAGAGATATATCTTCCGTTTCCTTTTTTTGTTTCTCGGGCTCTTTTGTGGTGAGAAGTTTGTATACCAAGTTGTAATTAAGATATGGTAATCACTTCCTGATATGTTTGAAGCATTAACCAACTCTGGAGTATCAAATGTTAGCAATATGTCAGAGGAAGTCCAGATATCATCTATTTGGCTAGTTGTAGTTGGGCCTTGCCAAGTTGGTGCATTAATATTATGGAATGCCAGGAGACTAGTAAGGTTGGCTGCATTTAGATTAGTAAAGATTGGAAGTCGTTTGTCTTAGAATTGATTGGCATTGAAATCTCTCAGAATCACGAGATGCCAATTTCTAGTCCTTGCTTCTATAATCCATACAAGTATTTGGGACTGAGTTCATTTTAAAAGGGAGAGATAGTTTGATGGAAGGTATGTTGAGATGATACGGGACTTGTTTCCATTAGGAAAGTAGAAGTCAATGCTGATTGCTGTGCCAGGAAGCGTATTAATATTGTGGATATATGGTTGCAACTGGGTGCATATCATTAGAGCGGTTCCTAGACTGGTTTCCCGCTGATTTGGTTCGTATAGTGTAAAGTTTGAAGTAAAGACTTTGTAGAATGGATTGGTTAGCGACCTTGTTGCAGAGTCTTTTAGCATTGTTTCAGAAAGTGCAATTATGTGTAAATTGGTTTCTATACAATATTCTATCCAGGTTTGTATTTTCAGAGGATCGTTGAAGCCTCTAATGTTGTGGGTGGCTATGTTAATTTTTTGGTGTAGATCGAATTCTAATTGTATTGATGTATTCTCATTTTCTGCTGTCAGCAGAGTTTCTACAGAGGAAGATGTGCTCATTGGTTAGCTATGTTAGAGT